AAGGCAGCAGATAACAGGAGCTGTCTTCACAGACCTGTCAGTGGCTTATGATACTGTAAACCACTGCCTCCTCCTGAGAAAAATGTATAACATCACAAAGGATTGCCATCTTACCTGCCTCATAGGAAATCTACAAAACAGGAGCTTTTTGTTGAGTCCCAGGGCCAAAGAAGCAGATGGCAGAAACAAAAGAACGGCCTGCCTCAGGGGAGCATGCTTGCTCCATCAATGTTCAACTTTTACACAAATGACCAGCCATTGCCAGAAGGGACAGAGAGTTTCATCTATGCTGATGGTCGTGCCATTACCACTCAAGCAGGGAGCTTTGAGATGGTTGAACAGAAGCTCTCCGAAGCTCTAGGTGCTCTTACTGTCTATTACAGGGAAAACCAGTTGATTCCTACTCCATCTAAAACACAGACATGTGCTTTTCATCTTAAGAACAGACAAGCATCCCGAGCTCTGAGGATGACCTGGGAAGGAATCCCACTGGAGCATTGCAGCACACCCAAATACCTGGGAGTTACTCTGGACCATGCTCTGACCTACAAGAAGCACTGCCTGAATATGAAGCAAAAAGTGGGTGCTAGAAACCATATCATATGAAAGCTGACTGGCACAACCTGGGGATCACAACCAAATACAGTGAAGACATCTGCCCTTGCGCTATGCTACCTTGCTGCTGAGTATGCATGTCCAGTATGGAACATATCTCACCACACTAAAACAGTGGATGTGGCTCTTAATGAGACATGCTGCATTATCACGGGGTGTCTGTGCCCTACACCACTGGAGAAATTACACTGTTTAGCTGGTATTGCACCACCTGATATCCGCCAGGGAGCAGCAAACAATAGTGAAAGGACCAAGGCAGTGACATCTCCGACCCACCCCGTTTGGGTATCAGCCAGCATGTCAATGACTTAAATCAAGAAATAGTTTTCTTAAATCTTCAGAGACACTCGCTGGAACACCTCAGCAAGTTAGAGTCCAAAAGTGGCAGGCTCAAACCCAGAACCTCAATCAATGGCTGGTACCAAATGAGAGACTCCCTCCTGAGCACACAGAAAACTGGGCAACTTGAAAGGCGCTGAACAGACTGTGCTCTGGCACCACAAGATGTAGAGCCAACCTTAAGAAATGGGGCTACAAAGTGGAATCCATGAAATGTGAGTGTGGAGAAGAGCAAACCACAGACCACCTACTGCAATGCAACCTGAGCCCTGCCGCATGCACAATGGGGGACCTTCTTGCAGCAACACCAGAGGCACTCCAAGTGGCCAGCTACTGGTAAAAGGACATTTAATAGAATACCAAGTCTGCAAACTTTGTATTTCGTTTGTTTGTTTTTAATGCAAAACAACTGTTTTGGCTCGCTCCTAACATCTATATAAATAAAAATGCAATGTTCGTTTGTGGGATTAACAAAACTCAAAAACCACTGGACAAATTGACACCAAATTTGGACACAAGACACCTAACAACCCAATGTATATCCTTCACTCAAAAAATGATTTTGCCATTTGGGAGTTGCAGTTGCTGGGATTTATAGTTCACCTACAATCAAAGAACGTTCTGAACCCCACCAACAGTGGAATTGAACCAAACTTGGCACACAGTTCTCCCATGACCAACAGAAAATACTGCAAGGGGAAAATACTGGGCAGTGTCCTTTGGTTTTGGAGTTGTAGTTCACCTACATCCAAAGATCACTGTGGACTCAAACAATGATGGATCTGGACCAAACTCTACACAAATACTCAATATGCCCAAATGTGAACACTGGTGGAGTTTGGGGAAAATAAAATCTTGACATTTGGGAGTTATAGTTGCTGGGATTTATAGTTCACCTACAATTACAGAGCATCCTGAACCCCACCAACGATATAATTGGGCCAAACCTCCCACACAGAACTCCCATGTGGGCCACAGCAACATGTGGCAGGGGACGGCTAGTGATAAATAAATAAACTGAAGTCTTATATCATGCATTAAGGCCATTAGTCTTTGTGCTGCAAGCTGTATTGCAACTTCTTGTTGGTCATTTGTGCATATGACAACCCAATGATAACTCTATCACAGTATTTTACTGATAAGATTTGTTGGAGGGAGGATTGCTTTTGCCTTTCTCTGAGGTCTGGGAAAGTGTGACTTGCCCAAGGTCACCCTGAGGGTTTCATTGCTGAGTGGTGATTTAAACCCTGGTCTCCATAGTCATCATCCAATGGTCAAGCAACTATCCTAATAATCATCATCATCATCATCTTTATTTTTACCCCGCCACCATCTCCCAGAGGGACTCGGGGCAACTTACAAGCACTCAAAGACGCAACCACAAAAAATACAGAAATTGTAAAAAAAAAAAAAACCAATAACATAAAACAATAAACAATCAACATAAATAACACAACTTTACAATGTCCCCTTATTTAGTATGTAGAGCAAAGAAAAAGGATCAATAAGCGGGACTGGGTTGGAGCTGTTTTGTTTTGATTCTGGATAATGTATGGCAGATGCACAATATTTTCTCAGTAGCAAAATTCTCTCTGCTGTTAGAATGGTAGAGAATTCAAAAGAAAAAGGATTGTGGGAATTGCAAGAAGATTTCTTTTAAGAACAGAACTTTCTGGTGCATCACAAAATAGCTAATTGAAAAACAGCTGGGATTGAGTTGATGTTTTATTGACCCTGTGTGAAGAGGATATTCATCTCCTTGAGGTATCTTCTGAAACTAGGCCTATTAAAGGTGTGCTTTGGAATGTACCTTCAGGCATATAATTTTGTTCTTTGATGCTGTTGAATTTTTCAAAGTAAGGTCAAAGCAAGTTGCTTTATAACTGAAAAATCCCTTACTAAAACTCTTATAAAACATCCCCATTGTCAAAACTGTTTTGCTTCACAAAGTGTAATAGTGTATGTGTTGAGGGGGACTCTATTTGTGTGGGCCTAATGCAGTCCTTTGAGTAATTAAATCATAATTATATGGCCCTAGTGGTTTGAAATCATGTAAATATGAAAATACATCTGAAATAAAAATGCTTGGTATTTCTCTTTTTGAGGACATAAAATATTCAGTCTTATGTTCTTTGCTGTTACATTCCTTTGAATATATTTTCATAATCACGTTTTCCATTTCAAGTGGGTGTCCTTTCTAGTAGTTAATATTGTACTTTTGTTGTGCTAAACAGATGTTCCTCCCAATTCAAAGCTTTCTACATTTCAGTAGTAGACGAGATTATGATTACTATCTTTACTGAAATTAACTCTGGAGATAAATGCATGAGCATTTTTATTGTTCAAATATGAAGTAACATAGCAAAACCCATTCAAACATCCTTTCAAGTAACCTTAAATTAATGGGAAATAAAAGAGGCAATTGTAGTGGTGGTAGGATTCATAATGTTGTAAATAGTCAATTGGAGGACTGTTTTGGTGTAGGCCCACTTGAAAGGAGCTCAGGCTGGAGCTTGTTCCACTGGAGAAAGGAAATGAATGCATTGATTTTTTTTAAAAAAAGTTAACCATGTAAACAAAAAACAGCTCCCAATTATTAAATCATATTATCTTGTGAGCAGGAAAAATATTTCCCTGTGTGGGCTACACTTGTGGAGAATGGATACTGTATGTGTAGGCAGGAGTAAGGTTGGAAAATAATGTGCAGTTCTCGAAATTGAGAGAAATGCACACCTCTTCCATCCAACATTTGGTGTTCTTGTTTTCGTGGATTTTAGAACCAGATATATATTTCCAAGTGTAAGAGAACCTCAACTCTGCTGAAGCCTTTCTATTAGTACACATATTCCATCATAGATATTCTGTTTGTATGTAAATGAAACCTATGAATTCGGAATAACACTTTTCTCCTTTGATAATAAAATCCCAGAAAATGTTATGGGAAAGTGGTGGACAATGGACATGAATTGTACAGTGGCAGAAAGAAGGAAATGAATTTCCACTATTTTCTGGGCAGGTGTCCAATGATATTTTCTCCCATGCAATTTAATGTCACTTTAACTGCTATGGTGGCCCCCGGTGGCACAATGGGTGAAACTCTTGTGCCAGCAGGACCGTTGACCGACAGGTCAGCAGTTCAAATGTGGGGAGAGCAAGTTGATCCCCCTCTGTCAGTTCCAGTTCCCCATACGGGGACATGAGAGAAGCCTACCACAAGGATGGTAAAACATAAAACATCTGGGCATTCCCTCGGCAACGTCCTTGCAGACAGCTAGTTCTCTCACACCAGAAGCAACTTGCAGTTTCTCAAGTCACTTCTAACATGAAAAAAACTGCTATGGTTCAATACAGGAAGTTTCAAAAAGATGACCTGATCTGAAATTGCTACATCTCAGCCACCACAAACCACCCATGCATGAAACTCTAACCACTTGAAAGTGTGGGGCATAGTGTTTCAAATTATTACCACTAGATTCTCTGCCAGTGTACAAACAACCCCTGGCTTCAGTCGTTTGCAAGATGGGAATGTCAACTGTTGTCAGAATTGAGTTTATTAGGCTAACTAATACAGATCAGCATACAGTGGAATCTTAATGTCTTGGATACAATGACATTAATTGGCTTTCCCCAGGTTAAACCAGATCAGTCTCCATGTGTTATATAAGCACCCGTGGGTTAATTCAAACTCACACCAACCTAAACGATCGGTGTAGATGGGGCCTCACTGAAAGATAACATCAACAATCAGACTTGCAAACTAAGCTTATTTTTTCTTTCCGAAGACCAGCCATCAAAAGTAAAGAAAACAAATGAACAAGAAACAGTATGACAAATGCAAAATGTATTGGTGAGGAAAATCAGAGACCCCAGATCCATGGTAAACATTTAATTTAGTTTAATGCTATCTTACATTTGTTCAGAATAGATTGATTTACATGTTCTTGATAAAATGATATCTACAGCTCTTTTTTTTTTTACAGATTTGTTCATTTTATAGGTAGATTATGTTTCTGAAAATAAGTTTAAACATTTCTTTTTCTTTCTAGGAAAACATAATAGAAGTTATTAGAAATCAAGAATTTTTACTGCTGCCAACAGAAGAACTCCATAAACTTCTAGCTAGTGATGATGTGAATGTTCCTGATGAGGAAACCATTTTCCATGCCTTAATGAAGTGGGTGAAATATGACATGCAGAGGAGATGCAATGACCTGAGTATGTTACTTGCCTACATCCGGTTGCCACTTCTTCCACCACAGGTAAAGTTTGGTTGAGTTCTGCTTCATAGAAATCTATGTGTTTTAAAAATAAGCAAAACAAGATGAGGATATGTATGTTTGTGTGTGTGTATGTACTTACTTACTTACTTAGGTGATCCCACGTAGACTGAGGATGATGGTCCTCCAAGTGTAGTATCCTGGCGGTGGGTCCGTAGGTGACTGTGGAGCACTATTCTTGATTTGCATCTTCTCCCACAGTGAGGGCATTGGTTTCCAAGTGGAAGGCGGTCCCGGACGGGGTTGACTTGACGCGCCTTTCTCTTGGCACATTTCTCTCTTTCTCCCTCCATTTGTGCCTCTTCAAATTCTGCAGCACTGCTGGTCACAGCTGACCTCCAACTGGAGTGCTCAAGGGCTAGGGCTTCCCGGTTCTGAGTGTCTATGCCAGAGTTTTTAAGATTAGCTTTGAGCCCGTCTTTAAATCTCTTTTCCTGTCCTCCAACATTCCGTTTTCTGTTCCTGAGTTCAGAGTAGAGCAACTGCTTTGGGAGACGGTGGTCAGGCATCCGGACAACATGGCCGGTCCAGCGGAGTTGATAGTGGAGGACCATCGCTTCAATGCTGGTGGTCTTTGCTTCTTCCAGCATGCTGACATTTGTCCACTTGTCTTCCCAGGAGATTTGCAGGATTTCTTGGAGGCAGCACTGATGGAATCGTTCCAGGAGTTGCATGTGACGTCTGTAGACTGTCCACGTTTCGCAGGCATATAGCAGGGTTGGGAGGACAATAGCTTTATAAACAAGCACCTTGGTATCTCTACGGATGCCCCGGTCCTCAAACACTCTCTGCTTCATTCAGAAAAATGCTGCACTCGCAGAGCTCAGGCAGTGTTGAATTTCAGTATCTATGTTGACTTTTGTGGAGAGGTGGCTGCCAAGGTAGCGGAAATGGTCAACATTTTCTAATGTTACACTGTTAAGCTGTATTTCTGGCATTGGAGAGGGATTGGCCAGTGACTTCTGGAAGAGCATTTTGATTTTCTCAGTGTTTAATGACAGGCCGAGCTTCTCGTGTGCTTCTGCAAAGGTGTTTAGAATGGCTCGTAGGTCTTTTTCTGAATGCGCACAGACGATGTTGTCATCAGCATACTGGAGTTCTATAACAAATGTTGTTGTAACCTTGGTTTTGACTTTCAGTCTGCTGAGGTTAAATAGCTTGCCATCTGTCCGATAGATGATTTCCACTCTGGTGGGAAACTTCCCATCAACAAGATGAAGTATCATAGCGATGAAGATGGAAAATAAGGTTGTGTGTGTGTGTGTGTGTGTATATATAGTTTCAATGCATATATTTTTCTCAATATTTTAAGTGAATCTTGATAGTAACACTAATGATAATTTTGAACTATGTAGGATACAAGAAGCTAGCATTCCATATTATATTCCAAAAGGAATTTAATTTTGAAAAAAAAAATACATCACATAATTTTGGTTCAGGGAGACAGCATACTTTTTAAAGCATGCAGTCAACCCTTCAAACTATTGTTTCTGTATCCTCCTCTTCAGAGATATTATCCTATGTATTCTTAATTCATGACACTTATCTTCATTATATTCAAGAAACCTCATGCTCTCTATATTCAAAGCTCTCCTACAGAATGCCAATGTAAAGTGCTCCTGTTAGCTGAGCTCCAGGGACTTAAATTGCAAACTCCTCCCCCAAACAAGTCTCTAACTCACAGGCCAGTTGGCAACCAGAGCAATGGAAACTGAATAACTGATACTACTAATAATAAAACTTTATTTATATCCCACTTTATCTTCCCATGGGGACTTAGGGCGGTTTACAAAGTGTGGCAAACATTAAGTGCCGTACAAAACTAAACAAAGAATGAACTTACTGAAACCACCCAAATCTCAAATAATACCCAACATCCACATCAAAATAATAATAAAGACAGCACCAAACATTAGACAATGACATAACTAAGTTACATTTTCACAGTTAAACATTAATAACAGACTGGAGGACAGATAGCAATAGAGATAAAAGCTTTAAATAAATTTAAAAGCCAACATAGCCAGAGTGACAAGGCATTTCCATTCCGTGGTATCGAAGCATTGATCTTCTATGCCCTCTCCTCTCTATATGCTCTCTCTCTCTCGTTCCCATCAGCCACACTTGAGATAGGGGTGGGACCAAAGGCAGGGTCTCATCCACTGTTCAAAATGCCTGCGCAGAGTTGTATGTGGAAATGCAGTTAGCAAAATAGTCTGGGCCTGAGCTGACATTCTGTTGTCGAAGGCTTTCATGGCCAGAATCATTGAGTTACTGTGGGTTTTGGGGCTGTATGGACATGTTCCAGTAACATTTTCTCACTATGTTTTGCCTACATCTGTAGTTGGCATTTTCAGAGGTCTGTTGGAGGTGAGGCAAGTGGAGTGTCCAGGGTGGGAAAAAGAACCCTTGTTGGTTGGAGCAAGTATGAGTGTTGCAATTAACAAGCTTGATTAGCATTGAGTAGCCTTGCAGCTGCAAAGTCAATCAGTGAGGATATTTGCATAGAGGTAGCCTGGCTATTGTGCCTGGAGGCATCCTTTGTTTGGAAAGTGTTAACTGGCAGTTGATGGTTAGCTGTCTGAAATTCTCCTGTTTCTTAGTGGTGTTCTTTATTTATTGTCTTAATTCGGGCGGGGTTTTTTTTTTAAAAAAAACTGGCAACCAGATTTTGTTCATTTTCATGGTTTACTTCTTTCTGTTGAAATTGTCCACATGCTTGTGGATTTCAATGGCTTCTCTGTGTAGTCTAACATGGTGGTTGTTAGAGTGGTCCAGCATTTCTGTGTTCTCCAATAATATGCTCCAAGTTGGTTCATCAGGTGCTCTGCTATGGCTGACTTCTCTGGCTGAATTAGTCTGCAGTGCCTTTCATTTTCTTTGATTCATATTTGGGCACTGTGTTTGGTGGCCTCTAGGTAGATTTGTCCACAGTTGCATGGTATACGGTAGGCTCCTGCAGTGGTTAGCAAATCCCTGGACACAGGGCGAACCATCACTAGGTAATCCTTCCTGCCCTCCCATGCTGCCAAGAAAAGTAATAAAACTGAACTTGGTCCCCGTGTAGCAAATCATTGGTTTGTCATTTTGTGTGGACCAGGAATTGTCATTTAAAAGAGAAATTAAAATGATATAATTCAGTGATGTACATATAGGTCTCACCTTCAAACTTCATTGCTATCCAGAGTATTATACATCTTTCTGTATAGAATGCTCCCCATATATGGTGGTTGAAACTGAGCATATTTTCAAATTTCTTGTTTCCCCAAGAGATAGAGTTTGCTGGTATGATAGAAATCGTTTCCATGTTAAGGGCAGCATCTTCATATAATTGCATTCCTTTCACAATGTGTCCCATCGGTTTCTGCTCAGAGCAGCAATCTTGTTACTGAAACAACATGCTCATTTGCATACATTTCTCAGCATGAATTGTTCAGATCTGGAATTGTATTAAGAAAAACAAATCGTGACTCAGTAAGCTAAGTGGATGCCAGTGGGGAATAAAGCGTAAAAGTGCCATATTAGGGTAGGAGACCTTATTCCAAATCCTATTTTGTCATGCTCTTGGGATAGTGATTACTTCTTAGCCTTAAGCTTCCACCTTTTACCTGGACTAATATAGGTTGACTGAACTTGCAGAGATTTAATGAAGGTACTAATGCTCAACTGGCTACTTTAGCTTTACATCTGGCCATGACATGTATCTGATTTAGTGGCATACAAGCAGAGATACAAAATAATAATAATCACGCACTGGATTTTGGTAGGTCTTGATCTTCTGTAAGATTTCTTCTGCCACTTTTTGTATATCATCATCCATTCCTTTCTTCCAGATATTTAACAGAATCAGAAACCACATGACTCCATGGTAATAAAAAATGTTTGTTTATTTTGGCAAGAATAAAAAAACCCAAAGTTTTCTTCCTCTTTGGGGAAAACGTGAATATCTTAATTTGCCAAAACATGGTTTTGTGCAAGAACTGTGTATTTTGTAAAAAGATTAAACTTGTGCAAAACACTTCTAAAATCTTACTGCAAATTGTAAAAAGCACTAGATTTTTGACCTTGTCTTTAATTACACCTTTTCCTACCTTTCTTCCTTTGCTTTCTTTTCCTTCTATTTTTTTAAAAAGGCTTGTGTAATTTATTTCCACTTCTCTGAACTCAATTCAGTGCTCATACCTAAATTTAAAAACCAAGAAAAAAATCATTGGGCTTATATTTCTTTATTTCTATGTGTGCATGTTGTCAGATTGTGGATGTTATGATTCTAGTAAAAACATAGCATATCTTATGTACAGATATACTTTTTATTTTATCCTCATCCTAAATATATTTAAGCATAGCTAATATGCTCCCACAGTGATAATGTACAAGTTATATGTTTGCAGTAGGTTGATGATGATCTTAAGGTTCTGTTAAAACTTTTTTTTAAAAAAAAACAGACTTTGCACTGGTCAGCTAAATAAGCAGGATGTCAAAAGAGATGAATTTATTTGGGACTCTAGTTAAGCTAAGGATGGTAAAGTATAACAGGGGACCTGTTATACTAAATAATATTGAACAGTTTAATAGATGGGCTCATTAAATCATAATCTTTGGGGAAGAGTTAATGATGTGAAAGTAGTTTCAGCTTAATTTGACTACTTATTACAGATGCTACCAATGAATGTTTTGCCGAACCAGTAGCTTAATTTGCAGAGTGGGAGTAAAAATAGATCCAAATTTTGTCTGCCAAGAAATAAATAAATAACATTCTAATAAAGCTTTGTTTCTTCTATATTTTATAAACCAGGGATTTTGCATAAAAGTTTCATATTGTCCCTTTTCTGATTTTTTCTCTTCTTCATTATATTGGGAAGAAGACATTGATTTGTTTATTAAGGACCATTATATAATGCATTTCATCAGCCTTCCTGATGCTGGTAGGGATTGGGGAAGTGACTTTTAAACAGAAAGTAAAATGCTGTTCCTAGAACTTC